CATTGTGGATGGCTTGTGGTAAAAACTTTTGAAAAAAATAATGTTTTCACACCTTACGTCTCCATTAAATGATAACAAGATTTATAAGGTGGTGTCATACTGAAGTAAACAACCTATTCCAAATCACTCTAGTAGACTTGAAACATGACGTGCGCTGATAATGGATGTCAACTAGACTCATAATCCACCACCGAGACTAATTCCGAATTTATATGAAAAATGAGTCACACAAACTGAACATACCTTGTGACCTCGGCTCTGAAATTGTCAAGCCTTCAAGTCTGTTAAAACTCAATTGTTATCTAATAAAAAAGATATTTGAAAATATATGAGTTGCTTGACACGCAACAGTCCAACCCATCTCTAGACAGGTCTCATAGATAAGTGGTGAACCGGGATCATTGGCCATCCCGAGCTTCAGTTCAACTGGCCCAACTTGACTCATTTGATAGTCCAAAGCAACTGTAAGTCCAAAATTTGGCACCCTTCCACAGGACAAAAAAGGTGCCGATTATTTTACTCGTGCAAGTACTTTCCTTTCTTCAAATAAGGTAAAATCTTATTTCTGTTGAATCAGTCGATTCTTTCTGATCATACATATAACATGGCACTTGTCACAAATGAGCAAGCCACGTGGTATTTAGTGGCCTGAAATGAGGGAACTCAGTTTAACTGGAATAATACTTTCTACTCTTCAATATCATTGGAAGTGGGATGAGTCATTCATCGGCTTGTGCCCAAGTCAATTCGCAATTGGCTCCCGTGGTGGGCAAAGTCGAGCCAAGCCCGACTATAAGCGAGGCTAACGTCTCGATTCATTCGGAGACTAAGGCATTGTTTAATGGAGATTAAAATCAGATTTTAGCAGATTTTGATAAAAATTAATAAAATATGCGGTTAAAATATTGTGGATCTCGTGAAATATGTGGTCAAAATTAATTGTTAACTTTGAATTTGATAAAAAATTAATTTATAATTTCTATCAAACATTAGCTAAGAATATCATAAAGAAACACGATGAGAATGATCCTATTTATATTTGTACACAGGGACGTCCACAAGGCAAACTTCGACACAAAGTGAGCAACAATCTAATGACCATGCAAGCATTAAGGGCCAACTTTAGGCAATTCAATAAATTGAGGCAAGATTTTACCAGGGATGGATTTAGGGGGTAGCCCCCNCCCCCCCCCCCCCCACCCCCCCACAAAAAAAAAATTATGTAAAAAAACGTATTAGCCCGGTCTGTAATCTGATCCTGGATACGTCCCTGAATTTTACTATATTAGAATTATGTGACTAGTCGTGCACAACACTAACAAAAAAAGAACACCTTAAGTATGAACTTAATTAATTACTTGTAGCAAGTGATAGAACACAAAAAATGTATTAAAATTTAGGGTGTGCTAATGACTGTTAATGTTAAAAATGAAGCAAGCATGATCTCTTGAGCGCTATCAAAGAGGCGTCCAATGGATCTAATCAATTGAGAGAAAGCATAAAATGCCAACAAAGAGGCGTCTATCATTAGATGCAAACACTACTCTCCTAACCGACTAAAAAAGTTGCAAGGAAATGAACACTGAATACGCAATATGAAACGACACGTGAAAACTTTTTTTTTTTTTAAATATTGTATATCGTCAAGAGACTAGAACACTCTTCGTTATTGATCTGTCGATAATTTTCAAAAGACGGAATGGGACGATGAAGGGATAGGGCAGGCCGTGTGGGGGATTTAAAAAATTTACTTGTATCGTATAATTAATTATTAGTTTGAAAATATGATTTAATTTTTAAAAATATAAAATTAAAAAAAAATATATATATTTTAGACATGTTTAGAGAATTCGGGAAGTGGGGATGATTATGGGTTTATAAAGATGGACAAAGGGAAAAATTCATAAATAAGGTGTTTACTTTACACCAATTCAAAAATCAGGTTTATAGTTTAAAAATTCAAAAATCGGGTTTTTTT